CTCGCGCACCGAGGGTTCCGAACAAATCCGTAGGTACTCGTATATAAGTTTAAAATAATTAATAATATTTTTATTATATGATATAACTAAAGATTTATGCTTTTCGCAATTTTTCTTTTATCTGTGCAATAATACGTTGCTTTGTACCAAATTTTAAGATTCTGAGTTCACGGAAAGTACCCTGTAGGTTTTGATTTCCTTGCGAGTGTCGAAGCTTTGCGGCATAAACGGCTGTATTTTTTGATTGCGTTGGCTTAGAAGTTTGATTTTTTCATAGCTTCAAGAGACAATAGACTTGACTATTTGATATAAATTTCAGCTTGATACCTCCACGCGTTCTTGAGAAAAAGGTTCTTGACAGACAGACAGACGGACAACAAAGTGATCCTATAAGGTTCCGTTTTTCCTTTTGAGGTACGGAACCCTAAAAAGTAAAAAGTGCACCTTTGCTTGCGCACTCACTCATGCACTATAATCCTTTCCTAGCTAGTCTTTGTTGAAACTTGCCATCGTGGCCAAAATTTGGTCTGGAGACTTCATTGTTACAGTGAGGCCTAATAATCTTAAGTTCACCAGATGTCGCTAGTGTGGACAAAGGTAGGTTTAAATTTAACAAAAAATTACTTTGCGTACATCCGCTAGATAAAATAAAATGATGTGTCTTACCTAGTTTGAAGAGCACCTCCCATCATCATCATCATCATTACAGCCCTTCACAAGTCCACTGCTGAACATAGGCCTCCCCCAAAGAATGCCACAAAGCACGGTCCTGAGCCACCTGCATCCATCGACTTCCTGCATGTCTTACCAGGTCGTCACTCCATCTCGTGGGGGGACGCCCTACACTTCGCCTACCGGTACGAGGCTGCCACTCGAGAACCTTTCTTCCCCATCGGTTGTCGGTTCTTCGAGCTATATGGCCGGCCCACTGCCACTTCAGCTTACTAATCCGTTGGGCTATGTCGGTTACTCTGGTTCTACTGCGGATATCCTCATTCCTAAGTTTATCACGCAGAGAAACTCCGAGCATAGCCCTCTCCATAGCTCGCTGAGCGACCTTGAGCTTCCTCATACGGCCAGCAGTGAAGGACCACGTCTCAGATCCGTAAGTCAGCACTGGCAACATGCACTGGTTGTACAATTTCGTTTTAAGGTTTTGAGGGTCTAACGAGAAGATGTGTCGTAGCTTCCCGAACGCTGCCCAGCCGAGTTGAATCCGTCGATTGACCTCTCGGTCGAAGTTGGACTTACCTAGTCGGACTATTTGTCCCAGGTAAACATACTCGTCAACAACTTCGAGCTTAGTGCTCCCAACAACTACCGGTATAGGTGTGACATGGACATTGAACATGATGTTTGTTTTGCCCATGTTCATCTTAAGACCTATCCGTTGGGAAACACTATCGAGGTCATTAAGCATAGTGCTTAGGTCCTCCAGCGATTCTGCCATAAGGACTATATCGTCGGCAAATCGAAGGTGAGTGATGTACTCGCCATTGATGTTGATACCGTATCCTTTCCAGTCCAGAAGCTTGAAAACGTCTTCCAATGCAGCGGTGAAGAGTTTCGGGGATATGACGTCACCCTGTCTTACACCTCTCTGCAATTGGATAGGTTTCGTACTCTGGTTCTGTACTCGGATAGCCATTGTAGCCGTACTGTACAAGCACTTCAACACTTCGATATACCGACAGTCAACTTGGCACCGCTGAAGGGACTGCAGCACCGCCCAAATTTCGACGGAATCAAAGGCTTTCCCATAGTCCACATACGCCAGACATAGTGGCAAATTGTACTCTTCGGACTTCTGTACAATTTGCCGAAGGGTATGTATGTGATCTATGGTGCTAAAGCCCTTTCGGAAACCGGCTTGTTCGGGAGGCTGGAAGTCGTCAAGTCTGCGCGCGAGACGATTCGTAATGACTCTCGAAAACAGCACGTAGACGCGGCTCAGAAGGGAAATCGGTCTGTAGTTCTTCAAGAGAGCGTTGTCACCTTTCTTGAAGAACAAGACCACCGCACTTCTGCTCCACGCCTCCGGTGTAATCCCACCATGGAGGACGGAATTAAAGAGCTTCTGAAAGACTTCAAGTACCGGTCTTCCACCCGCTTTCAGAAGCTCCGCTGTAATTCCATCCTCGCCTGGGGCCTTACCGTTTTTAAGGTGCTGGAGAGCCATTCTAATCTCGCTCGCTCAGTCTGAGCGAGATTAGAATGGCCTCCCGCCCGTCCTCAATTGCGTGCACTATCCCCGTCACCACTAATCCCAGCACCACTACTCCAAACACCACTACACTAGGAAAGACACACCACTACACTAGGAAAGACACACCACTGACGACAATACGACACGTGTTTCGCCTCTACTCGAGGCATCCTCAGGTGATATAGACTCTACGGTGGCTAACCGCTAAGTCGCTTCGGGAGGTGCTCTTCAAACTAGGTAAGACACATCATTTTATTTTATCTAGCGGATGTACGCAAAGTAATTATTTGTCAAATTTAATATAATAGACTTCCGCAAAGTAACGCCTGATTCTATTAAAGGTAGGTTTGCTACGCAGAAGGGCACACTGTTATCATCATTGAAAACTTGCGATTAAAATGAAAGTTTTTCGATTTCTAGTAAATGAAAAATGTAAAATTAACATTTCAATTAAATTAAATAAACTTTAACATAAAAATTTAATTAACTTACCCCACTATGAAATCTGTGAAATATTTCACCTCATTCTTATTCTTTATTCTTTTTAGAGTTCCGTACCCAAAGTGTAACCAACGGGACCCTATTACTAAGCCTCCGCTATCTGTCCGTCCGTCTGTATATCAGCCGCCTGTATCTCTGTGTAATGGGTAGACAGTCGAAATTTCAACAGAATGTGTATTTCTGTTGCCGCTATAACAGCAAATAATAAAAATAAAAATAAATTAAAAATTAAAGGGTATGGATGGTACGGAACCCTTCAAGCACGAGTTCGACTCGCACTTGTCCGGCTTTTTTAAAAATGTTACCTCCATACTAGGATTTTCTCATCGTGACGACATTTTCATACATAAATTTAATAAGGTCAAACATCCAGACCCGGAACAATTATTTGTAGGCCGTACAAATACTTATTCCGTGCGGGATTCGAACCCGTGGCTCTCGGCGCCGCAACTCATTGCTAAGCCACTGCGAAACGGATCCATCAAACTTACGCTGCTCTGGTTGCAGAAAAAGTTGTGGATACCCTCATTAGGTACCCTGATTTAGTGCTAAATTCCATACTTGAAAGACAAGAGTTTTCATTCCATTTAATTTAAATATGAATTTCCGTATCGTAAAGCAACTTGTGTATGCCGTAATTCATAGCAGTGTATAATCTGTCGCGTTCATTGACAGTACGGTCAACGACATGCCGCCAATTTGTCTTGGTCTTGCTTACATGGCCGCCGCCCTACATGTACACATAACTGATGATACCGAACATATGCGCTCACAAATTAGAAGTCAGCAGGTACTAGCCGTGCTAGCTCAGGGACTAAACGCTCACTGTAAATTTTACAGTACCCGAGCAACCCAAGTTCGATCCCCGCCGGCAAAAATGAAATTGTTAATGGTAATTTTAAGTGCTGATTTACTATGTGCTAGTCTCCGATTCTCTACACTCACCATACGAAACACAGCAGCATTAAGCTGCAATTGGAACGTAGTTTCTTATCGCACGGTACTAATTTGACGGATGGGGGCTAAGCGAAAAAACTGATTGAAAGGGGGTTGTGACGGAAAAAAAGATTTTTCCGTCACGACCCCCTTTCTATAGTGTGAGCGAGATGAAATAATATCCATCTCCCTCGCACTTTTTCTAATCTTGCCATGAAAGAAATATAATTTTAAATGACGCTACATTTTAATAGACGCTAGTAATTCATTTATTTGTATTAGTTAATCAGTAGTATAATACGTTTATAAATAATAATATAGTACGAAAGAAACTTCGTACCAACCGAATGTTCAACGACACTCACCGATGTTTTTTTACGCTGTTATTCTGTGATCATAAAAACAATATGATCTGTAAGCAAATAATAAATATTATCATAATTTTTTAGAGTTTAATGCGTTCAAATGGTTAAAGTATCTATAAAGTACAACTATGTAATATCATTTACATCGCTCCAACGAATTTGCAGCGACACGACCAAGCAATTTAACTCAGTCGTGTCAACATGCCGAGCGGTTTGTTTCCTCAACATTTTGCCCAAAGAGCATGATATTATCAATACGTTTTAATTCTCCATTTTAAGTCTAAAGAGGTTAATTCTCAAATTAATATAGATTAACTTTCACATCGAAAGGTACAATAAGCCTTAATGATATTGAATATTAAAGATATTAAATTTATAAGAGCCAATTGTTTCAAAATCATTATAGATTTATTGTTTTAGTCATCAGTATTCTGTGGAGCTTTGCCCTTTCTAAACCTTAAAAACTTACCAACTCTAATTAACAGTAAAAAATTAAAAGACTACTTTCTGATAAAAAAGTTGAGTTACGAAAGCAATGCGCTATTTATATAATTTCTTTTATTTGTCTAAGAACTTATATTTTAATCATTAAACAAAAGTAATTCATAGAATGAAATATTACTTAAAGAAATAAAAAATTACAGTTGTATGTAAAAACGACCGCAGAATGACCATATGAATAATTTCGGACTTCCCTATATGTCCGTCACCTATCGATCTCAGGGCCAGATATTTGTTCTCATTATCTGTTTTGACTCTCTCGAGGTTCTCATTATATGGATGGAATATTATAATTATTAGCAAGACTAACTCATTAATATTTATAAAATGGAAGTGACGGCTTAGCTTTCCATTGACGTCAGTGGAGTTTGGTGTTGATACGTATTTTTATAGAAAGATTACACTATTATAAGCACACACACAAAGTCTCTAGTTATTAGTTATATCTCTAGTTATTCTTAGTCTCTATATTGTTAGTGCAAAATTAGATAATGAATGGGAATCTATGGGAATCTACCATAAGTGCGTCCGATGATCTACCCAAATTCGATGAATTTTCAAAGTTTTTGGAAAATCGGTTTAGATCGTTAGAGTTTTTAGATACAAAGGTAAGAACAAAGCCTGTTTCTAAACAGAGTGTTCTACACGCACTTAAAACTAACTCATCTAGTATCTCTTTAAATAATTGCCAATACTGCCAAGGATCTCATAAAATTGCACATTGCAAACAATTCGCTCGACAGGATTATGACAGTCGACAAAGCTTTGTTCAAAACAACAATTTATGCTTCAACTGTCTGGGAAATAACCACTCGGTTTATTTTTGTCGGCAAACCTCCAAGTGCCATGTTTGTAAACGAAAACACCACTCATTATTACATCCAAATCGGAAACCAAGTGAAGTAACAATCGGAAATGCAGAATCTGGTGTCGTTAATACGGTAACAGAAACTGTTCAACCAAATGAGTTAACTAGTATAACCTCATGTTTTTCAAATATACAGAGTCATGTTCTTTTGGCTACAGCCTTTGTAAAGGTTTTGTCAAAAAATGAAGTTGGTATTACATTTAGATGTCTTTTAGATCAGGGATCCCAAGCGTCTTTTATTACAGAGAATGCAGTTCAAACGCTTGGACTAAAAAAGATTCCGACGAAGGTTGTGATATCAGGAGTAGGAGGACAAGAGGGCTTAGTATCCAAACACATAGTAGTTGCTAATCTGCAGTCAATCCATGATCCCCATTTTTTGATAAAAGTGAAACTTCACGTTTTAGACAAATTGACAGCATTCATGCCTTCAAAGAAGTTTGCTGTTCAATTATGGTCGGAGCTATCTGAATTGCGATTAGCTGATCCTACATTTTATATACCTAATAAGGTAGATCTATTACTAGGAGCAGAAGTATACGGACAAATACTAGAAGACGGTCTAATAAAGGGTCCTCCAGGATCACCAGTGGCTCAAAACACTAAATTCGGATGGATTCTTTCAGGACAAATTTATTCAAGCTCTCACACTGGATTGGAGTGTGACTCCAGTAATAGGATTGTCAGTATGCATTCCTATGTAGATGAAAATGAGGTTTTAAGAAGATTTTGGGAGATTGAGTCTGACGATTTCTCCTACAAGAAGAGTAAAATATTAACTCCAGAGCAACAAAAGTGTGAAGAGATATTTTCTCATACAACCTCTAGGGATGACTCTGGACGTTATGTGGTTAATTTACCTTTTAGAGACGAAGATCCTCGATGCAAGTACGGAAATTCGAGAAAGATAGCTACTAGAAGATTACAGTTGTTAGAAAAAAAGTTGGAGAAGAATACCGAGTTAAAGATACAATATTCTGCAGTGTTGCAGGAATATCTTGATCTAGGCCACATGGAGTTAGTACCTGAAAAGGAAAAAGAGGATGTTCATGTAGTTTATCTACCTCATCATGCTGTGGTGAAAGAAGATAGAACTACTAGTAAAATACGCATTGTTTTCGATGCGTCCTGCAAAGGTGGTAATGGGGTATCACTAAATAACGATCTTTTAGTAGGGCCCGTATTACAACCTGATTTGCGGCATATAGTGTTGCGTTGGCGACAACATCCGATAATTTTAGTTGCTGATCTGGTTAAAATGTACCGTCAGATAAAGGTGACAAAGGAACATTGCAACTTTCAACGTATTGTCTGGCGAGATCAATCTGGAAACATGCAATATTATAGATTATTGAGGGTTACATTTGGCACCAATTCTGCTCCCTACCTAGCTGTAAAGGTATTACAACAGTTATCTGTTGATGAGGGAAAGAATTTTAAATCAATCGGGGATAGAGTTACTCAGGATTTTTATATGGACGATCTCATGACAGGTTGTCAGTCGGTCGAAGAAGGAATAGTAGTATATAAAGAGATGAAAGACTTGATGAGAAGGGGAGGCTTTCAGCTTCAAAAATGGGGAAGCAACAGTCAAGAACTGTTGGAAAAGATAGGAGAAGATAAAGGGAACAAAAATAAGGAAAAAAGGGTTGACATAGGAGTGGAAAAGGGAGTAAAGGAAGTGAGAAAGGTTCTTGGTCTAAATTGGAATAGCGAATTAGATAATTTTGAGTATTTGGTTAAACTTCCTGCTGTGAGCACCCCTTTGACCAAAAGGAAAGTAGTGGCAGATATTGCTCGCTTATTTGATCCCCTTGGCTGGATATCGCCTGTAATAATTAGTGCTAAAGTTATTATTCAGAAACTTTGGATGTCGGGCATCGAATGGGACCAGGAACTGCCAGATAAACTATTACAAGAATGGATAGCATATCGTGGCAGCTTAATTGATCTTTCTGATTTACACAAGAGACAACAATGAAAGGGTTGAACTTCATGGCTTCAGCGACGCCTCCTGTCATGCTTATGCAGCGGTGGTCTATTTAAGAGTTATTAACAAAACTGGAGAAATATACACTAGCTTAATCACTTCTAAGACAAAGGTGGCACCTATTATTCAAAGATCAATTCCACGCCTTGAATTGTGTGGAGCAGAATTGTTAACACATTTAATTGTAGATGTTGCGGAGACGTTAAAAATACCAAAACATAAGATACATGTCTGGACCGACTCGTCAGTGGTGCTTGCCTGGTTAAGCAGCCATCCAAGTCGATGGCAGACCTTCGTTGCAAACAGGACATCGGAGATTTTATCAATCTTAGATAGAAGCCAGTGGTCCCATGTTCGGTCGAAAGATAATCCAGCGGACTGCGCTTCTCGTGGTTTAAAGCCGTCAGAGATTCTTAATCTCAAGTTATGGAAAGAAGGTCCATCTTGGTTATCTGATGTAGCTATCGAATACAGTCCACAATTTGACCATAACCAAGAAGTTCCGGAAGTAAAAATAGAAGAACGATCTAAGTTCGTTAACTTGCCATGTCACTTTACGGAATTAAACACTGCGAATGAAGGTTTATTTTTACGGTTTTCATCTCTACATAGGCTTCTTAGAGTAATTTCTTATTGCAAAAGATTCATTCAACTTTTAAAAAGAAACCAAAACCGAAATTTTCGAAATGGCTAACCAGTAGGGAGTTGCAATCTTCTTTACATGACTGCATTAAAATATGTCAAATGCAATATTTTGCAGTCGAATTTGAAAATTTGAAAAAAAGAGGTAGAGTGAGCGAGAAAGGCGGGCTAGCTTCTTTGTGTCCCTTTAAAGATGAACAAGGCATCCTGCGAGTTGGCGGGCGTTTACATAAGGCCGAATTAACTCAAGATATGAAACACCCGATTCTTGTACCTCGAGAGTCCCATTTGGCCCAATTGATTATAACAGAAGCTCATGCAAAAACAATGCATGGTGGCCCATTGCTCATGATAAATTACATTCGGACAAAATATTGGATCGTTAATATAAAGACATTAGTAAAAGCCTACATTCGAAACTGTATTACTTGTTTACGTCACTCATCATCATCATCACCACAGCCCTTCACAAGTCCACTGCTGAACATAGGCCTCCCCCAAAGAATGCCACAAAGCACGGTCCTGAGCCACCTGCATCCATCGACTTCCTGCATATCTTACCAGGTCGTCACTCCATCTAGTGGAGGGACGCCCTACACTTCGCCTGCCGGTATGAGGCTGCCACTCGAGAACCTTTCTTCCCCATCGGTTGTCGGCTCTTCGAGCTATATGGCCGGCCCATTGCCACTTCAGCTTACTAATCCGTTGGGCTATGTCGGTCACTCTGGTTCTACTGCGAATATCCTCATTTCTGAGTTTATCACGCAGAGAAACTCCGAGCATAGCCCTCTCCATAGCTCGCTGAGCGACCTTGAGCTTCCTCATCCGGCCAGCAGTGAAGGACCACGTCTCAGATCCGTATGTCATCACTGGCAACACGCACTGGGTGTACAGTCTCGTTTTAAGGTTTTGAGGTATACCTGACGAGAAGATGTGCCGTAATTTCCCGAACGCTGCCCAACCGAGTTGAATCCGTCGATTGACCTCTCGGTCGAAGTTGGACTTACCTAGTCGGACTATTTGTCCCAGGTAAACATACTCGTCAACAACTTCGAGCTTAGTGTTCCCAACAACTACCGGCATAGGTGTGACATGGACATTAAACATGATCTTTGTTTTGTCCATGTTCATCTTAAGACCTATCCGTTGGGAAACACTATTGAGGTCATTGAGCATAGTGCTTAGGTCCTCCAGCGATTCTGCCATAAGGACTATATCGTCGGCAAATCGAAGGTGAGTGATGTACTCGCCATTGATGTTGATACCGTATCCTTTCCAGTCCAGAAGCTTGAAAACATCTTCCAATGCAGCGGTAAAGAGTTTCGGGGATATGACGTCACCCTGTCTTACACCTCTCTGCAATTGGATAGGTTTCGTACTCTGGTTCTGTACTCGGATAACCATCGTAGCCCTATTGTACAAGCCCTATTGTACGTCACTCAGTAAGATCTAATCAACCCTTTATGGGTAATCTGCCGAAAAGTAGAGTTACACCCAGTAAGCCATTTTTTCAGAGTGGAGTGGATTATGATGGCCCCGTATCAATAAGGGTTTCAAAAGGGAGAGGTCATCATGCGTCCAAAGGCTATATCTGTCTATTTGTGTGCATGACAACAAGAGCTATTCACCTTGAGTCTGTTAGTGACTTATCCGCTGAAGGATTTTTAGCAGCTTTTAAACGTTTTGTTGCAAGAAGAGGTCACTGTGCTGATTTATGGAGCGATAATGGCACGAACTTCGTGGGTGCCGCAAAAGAGCTCAAGAAATTATTGAATGTTGAGCGTTCTACTGTAGCCGTAGAAATTGCTGAGTGGCTAGCGACTAATGGCACTAACTGGCACAACATTCCTCCGTATGCTCCAAATTTCGGTGGATTGTGGGAGGCTGGTATAAAGTCCACCAAATTTCACCTCAAGCGAGTAATTGGTAATTCCACGTTAACGTATGAGGAAATCACAACTGTACTGACTCAAATTGAAGCCTGTCTCAATTCAAGACCGATATCGCAAATCAGTGACAGCATACAGGATCCTTACCCACTGACCCCCGGTCACTTTTTATTGGGTGAATCTTTATTACTGGTTCCCGATGCTAATTATGAGAATTCCAATGTAAGTAGCTTAAGGCGATGGCAATTCACACAAAGATTGGTCCAAAATTTTTGGCGACGTTGGTCGAATGAGTATCTTACTCAATTTTTGCAACGCCACAAATGGAGAAACAGTGTTTGTGAACCAAAAATAGGTGATGTAGTTTTAGTCAAAGAAGCCAATCTTCCACCTGCAAGATGGCTGCATGGTATAATAACTGAGAAACATACAGGTACTGATGGTGTTACGCGAGTAGTTAGTTTGCGTTGTGGGAATAGTCAAATCAAAAGACCTGTCTCTAAATTGTGTTTACTGCCTGTGACTAAATAAGACTCTTCTTTTGCAAGTTTTTTTGCACATTGGTTTTATAAGGTTTGAATTGTTTAATTTATATTTTTATTTTAACATCCATGTAGCATTTATTCAAAACATATTAACATTGTATTAAACATTTTGCTCGAATTTTTCTAATTTGTAAGACAGTTACTAAAAGATGTTAATGTGAGGGTTACTATACCGTCATAATTATTGTTATGAACATTCTGTCCATGGCGGGCGGAATGTTTAGCTATTTAAGTTGTCACTAGATGTCGTTGTACTAAAATATTAAATAACTGAATCACGATGTTGAGATTATTTGTAATAATATAAGGTGCAGCGATTTATTAATAAATTTACTCATTCTCTGTCTCCAACGTATTGGTTGTTTCAATTACGTACCTTTGAAATAAGAGTAAAGTTCGTGAGAAAACAAACAATTATGCCTCACAATATGTTGATGCGTCACATTGTGCAGCCCTTGGGAGATTTTGACGGTAACTTGAATATTGTAACTTCAGGCTCAGAAGGGCTAGATCCCAGAGCCGTAAAGCCAGTTATCAAGAAAGAAGTTACACGCGCCTCCCTTAGATGTTAAAATCTACTATAACATACGTAGATAGAGGATTGACTAGATAAAGCATTCGCGTATGCTTTTGAGATAGAAATAGGCGGGACGTACTTTCACTGGGTTACCAGATATTGTTCCATTTCCCCCGTTATGGGTTTATTTATATTCACAGCACGTACATTCATACAAAAAACTTAATTGTTACCATAAAAAAATGTTCTTTTATAATTCAGATGATTAATTCATTTCTCTTAAAAATACATTCTGTGACTAAAAACTACGGGCGGAAACGGCGTAAAAACAGAATCATCATTCTGTATTCAACGGCGCATCGACGATTTTACTGGACATTCAATAAACTCTGGATTTCGACGGCACTAAGTGAAGACGCTACTAGCACAAAGTGTGATATTGCTAATAAATAACAATATGTTATGTATGTACTTAAATATTAGTTAAGAATAAAAATATTAAATAATAAACAAAAATTTCCTCGTGTCGAGTTCTGTTTTTACAAAAAAAAATCAATAATGTTTTAACATACCATTCCATCACAAGTTCAGTGCTGAACACAGACCTCCGAAAGGAAAGGCTTTCCACTTAGGTTTTGTAGTACAAAACACGGTTATGAGCCTACTCCCGCGATTTCCTGCATGTTTTGCTAAGTTAGTGTCTTGTGTGCGGCAAGTTGTGGCGTACAAGAGAATTTGTCTGTACACGGGATGATATTACCCCGCGTCGTCAGCAATAATACAAGATGGGGATGGGGCAGTAGCACTTTCCCGATGAAAACTTAAAATAATAAAAAACTGCGGTGGCCAACCAGCATAACGCATATTTTCACGCAGGCGTGGCAACTATGGCAAGTCATCCTATGAGGATATCTATGGAAGGCCTTTTTTAGGTGACATACTTATGGTTAGGTGGCTTAATCATGTTACCTAATGGTTAAGGTGGTAAAATGTTTTAGTTAATATACGTTGTAAAGCATCAACAAAGAATTTGTTTTTTTGTAATATGTTGGGTTATAAAGTAAAAACGAATGTTTTATAATATTCTATTTTAATTTACCATGCAGTCTAAGATTATCTGCTACCTCATATCATTCCATGGGTGGTGTATGAGGCGACATAGGGAAACATCAAAGAAGATAAACAGCAGCATTGTCCTGATAACAGCTAAATAATGGTTGACAACCCGCTTTCCAAGCGTTGAAACTATGCCAAATAACTATAATAAAGTTTATGTTCAACAGTGGACTTTTGATAGACTGTAAAGATATATATTCTATTTAAATGAAAATATATTGAAATTTAAAAAGGAAAAAGAACTAAATTTTGTGTACTTACACAACATTTAGAAATATTATCAAGGTTACATTAAGTAAAACAAATGAAAACACAATTATATATTAAATATAATTCAATACAATTAAAATAAATAAACAATTATTTATTAATTTTTCATCACATGAATAAACAACAAAATTAACAAAATTTTTGTCTTCTTTCTAGAGCATTCGTTGTAATTCTTGGTTTGAGTAGCTTTAGAATTTCTCAAAAATATGCATTTGTAAACTTGATTTATACTTTTGCATGGCAGAAATTCTTGGGTGCTGGTCGTTAGAATCAGATTAGTTGCCTTGTATATAATATATTTTAATGGTATAAATAACAAGGTACAACTCCTAAACTATACTTAGATAGGTAATACTTACTTGTATTGTCAAAAATATCTTTATTACATTATTTTTATGACAATTAAATAGAAATTATCATAATTATTACATTTATTTCTTAATTTATTTACACATTAATGTTTATAACACCTTTATAAAAGGGATTAAGGGTGAACTAAATGTCCCATTGGTAGGCATTCCCAGTCAGTTTTACAATTATTATTGCATAATAAATTATTCATTTGTATATTTAGGTCAGGATTTTAAATTATTTATTTATTTATTTATTTTATTTAAATCTTTATTTGCATAAAACATGGTAGTACAGATAAAGTTGTAAAACATTTGTAAATGAGGATTCATGTTTAATCAATACATCTATCTATAAGTAAATATTTTGTCATTGTCATGCCACCCAATTATTACAAGTCATAATAATACAGAATGTCAGCATTTGAAAATAAAATAAGCAATGCTAGTCAATTTTTAATACATACAGGACAATGTCAAAAATGATAACTACCAACAAGATCAAACTTATATCACTTGTGGAGAAACAACAAGATACAACAAGAAATTATAACATTTAAAAAAATTATCTTAATTATATTATAAATTACATAAGTTAAGCATATTTAGTCCACCTAAAACAATGAGGCTTAAATGTTTTGAGCATACACTGCTAATTTTTGTTGGTTACCTATAAGCACTACCAGTAGCGATTATCCAACTGTTACGGATAGCTGATTCCTTAGGAAAGCTGTGAAATAATATATTTAAAAGAAATTAATATATTAAATATATAGTACACTTTTATATCAAGGTATTTAACAAAAAAAAATCAAGTATGTGTATCTGTGCATAAATACAATACCTATAACAATTAAAACAATATCAATTGATTTAATTAAATAGCAAGTATATGTAAATGTAATGATACAATTACTCATACCAAACATTTAAAAAAATTATGTACATATTAAGCTTTAGATATTGTTAATTAATACATTTACAGCCTAACAAATGTCCTCCACTGCTGAACATAGACCTCCCACACAGTTTGTCTCCAAATAACTGCAGTTGCCAATTCTCCTGCCAAGCTAGGCAACTATCACAAAACCTATAACTTTTGATACTAACTAATGGTAGGTAAGTATATTATCATCAAATTTTTTCTACATCATTAATTGAGAATATTATCTTATGTTGTTGTGTTATTGTGTACCTTAAGATTAAGACTATATTATAAGACTATTTATTTATTATTTTATCTATATTTATATTTATTTTTATATTAGCATGACATTTTTTTAATAAATATTGTAATGTAATTGTTGCTAATGTATAATAGAATTAATGGAATGCAATAAAGTTTTGTGCATCTGATTTCAGGCGATACATATTTTGTGAAATTAAATATACTTTGCCCAATATTTATGTACTTGAATCCAAACATGTTTTCAGGTTTATACTTACATATTATTTGTGACGTCTATGTAATATGGAAAATGATTGTAGAGATGTAGGGCAATAAGGAGTTTCCTTTAAAGCTGAACATAAAAGTGTATGTATATGTATAACATTATGTGATTCATATTTATGGACATAACTACTAATCACAATAACAATTATTATTGAACAATGCGAAAACATTATTGTACTCGCTGATATCCCTAAAGTTTCTATAATCCTACCAAATCAAAAAGTACACGTTTGTTATGACTTTAAGCTTTCGAATGACCGTTCAAATTAAGGAGCATTATCATGAAGAATTTACAATCTGGGAGTCCAAATATTTGACAAAATACATCACAAAGTTCATTAAAAACATGAAATGTTACTCTTTATATTCAAAACAATAGATATTATTCAGACAAGTAGCAAATGTAAGCACAAAACAAACTTACCGAGGAAAGGTAATATTATCAATTTTTCTTTGACTGATGCTGTTGCATCCTAAAATGCTACAACTTACCATCTCTTTCACCTTACCTAATAACTAAGATCCACAAAAAGCACTAAATTCAATTACCTGTTTGCTTATAATATCAATATTATTCAAAAGAGCTTGACATCGTTAATGTCAAATAAAGGAGGGAAAACAATCAAAAACGCATACCTAGAAAAAGACAAGAAAAATAGATTTGCTACTCCCTTACTCTTATGTCTAACTATATACGTGCATTCCTTTCACACGCTTATGACGTCACTGAATGTTTAGTCTATAAGATACTATGTCTATGATAACATAGTAAAAAGGGACGCACAACACCAGTATACAATCTAAATATACCTCATACAATAAATATACAAAATCTACAAATAACATGCAGTTTTAAATAAGACGATCTCTAATTATACAACGAATAATTTGTTTTATGTGAAGTAATTACAATATTTGTTTTATTTGCAGAGAGATAAGTAAGGTTTGCTTCGAGCTACGGCTCGCTTCTGTAAAATTAAATAAAACAAGAAATCATAGCGTTTGCGAGTAATTAATGCAGCGCGAAATGCTTACGCTTTAAGGTTAATTAACAATTTTGTGAAGCGTGCAGTAAAAAACATTTCCATCTAGCATAAAGATTAAAATGCTGTAAAAAATTTAAGCATACCCAAAATAAAAACGAAACTGAAGACCTACAGTTAACCTATAATTTGTAGAATCCTAAGTGCGATGCACAGGTTCAAACACTTTATTTGAAATAGTTGCTTATTATTATCAGAAGTTATCAGCTGCATACACTCCGTACGGAGCCTGTTCCA